CTAGCTGTTCCTAGCTCATGTGCCATTCAAGCAGCTTAAAATTAATGTTCACATACTCGGGCTTAAAAAATTTATGTGAATTTTTTGGTGAGAAAGCGATTTCGGGAGCCGGACAAGATGGGAAACTGAAATTCACAGGTTGTTCTACGTTTTTGTATGAGCTGAAAAGCGAATTCGTTAAACATTTGAGTTAAAAAGCTGAAATTTGACGAGGATATTCTAATAACCATGTGTGATCGGAATTTTTCATATTCAGCTTGAAGCATCCTCAGGTCTAGCATGTGCGCACGTGAAAGTTTAATTTGAGACGCTGCTGACACCTGTGTGCAGGCCAACATGTATGAGATGAGCTTCTGTCTAAGAATGAACTGTGCGTGCAGGCGCATCAAATGTACAAATTGAAAAACCGCATTTACACCCCCAGCAGTACAGGCAAAAATGACGGAATCTGGCAAACATACAAGATCAACTTTCGTTAAGCGTGGTACGTTGCCAGCTACATTGATTTATGTATACAAGCATGAACGAAGCTGAAAGATCCAGATTTTTCGTAAAAAATACCGTGAAGCGGCATTCCATTGATGAACCACTGGACTATGGGGGCTGGTGTTCCCGATGCAATACAATGTATTTCGGCAGCACTTTCTTCTGGTTGATCGACATCTTGAGGCGGGTTGTTTTTCCAGAACGGAGCAGCTGCAGTTCAACAGTGTGCAATATTCTTAAACTGCGCGTAAATCTAGTTTAGAGCTTCTCTGCATTCCATTTTCTAACAGCGACAAGACAAGCAGCCCGTAGTTTACGTGATAACACTTCAGTCAATTTTAGCCACCAGGAAAACTGTTAGTAATTTCCTCGTGGAAGGGAGCCAGCAACGATTTTACAGGACAGCACTACTACTGCTGCGCAAGGGGTGCTGCATCAGAACTGGAACAATAGACTCTTAGAGTGGTACTGTATGGTGAAAGCCGTTGTGATTTGACAGTCTGCGGCTTCGGATCTATTTCCTACTTTACTTTGTTTAATATTTTATGGTTCTAAAATGGTTGCTGTGGTTCACGCCTTTTTGTATATTTTCAAGCGCTCACCAGTAACAGTAACATGGATCTGATGAAAAAGATGCTGTGATCGGCATTCGTATATTCCAGCATCTTCCGATCGAACATTCCCAATGATTAAGGATTTACCATAATCAGCCTCTTGCGAAGTCAAATCTTTCATTCGAGCCATTGGTAATTTACCATTCAGTTTACTCCATGTTACCACTGGCAATGGCCTAAACTTCCAAAGTAAT